TGTTTTTTTTGTTTGTTTTTTTCCCAAAGTGATAAAATATTAATACATATTTTAAGTACATATTTTAATACATATCTATTATCAAGAAATAATAGATAGAAGTTTAATTTCAAAGACTGTCAAAACTTTAGATGGGAAGACAATCACAGGGGGTTCAGGAAATTCTTTATACTCAAAGTGTAGTGATAAAAAGTAATAGAATCACATTTCTTTTTTTTCAAGCAGAGAGAGAGCTTTACCAAGCATTCGCTGAATAAGTGTTGGCAGTCTAGCTTGTTTGTGATTGAAGAAATGTAATTGCCCCCTGATCTCTCCCACCATAAGAACCAAATAGTAATTCTTCTAAAGTCTCTCACTGCCCTTTCAGCTCAGGCTCCTGCTCTGACGGCAGACTGTGTCTGTTTGTACAGAAGGTTACAGACAGTTCCAGTCCACAGGAGAGTGGAGTCTGAGCTAGTCTTCCTGTCTTAGAGCAGTGTGACAGTGAGACAGGTCCCTGGCTGTCTGTGGTCACTCTTCTGTAGCGGTTGACAGCTTGAGAGTTCACCACAGCCAAGAGTGCTCGCACCGTTCCGCAGGACGTTATTACCTCTCTTTAGTCATATCATCAGCCTGCACAATGTTTTTTCTTTTTTGTTCAATAGAAAATAGGACATTTGGCATGCAAAGGTTATTGGTAAATACTTTACCTTACTAATGCCAGTTAATATAACAAACAAACTTCATATTATAATCTCAGAGATTCTTCTATAAGACAAAATTCTGTTTTATTTGTGATGACTTAAATTTGCTTTTAAACCATTACGTTTTCTAATGAATGTGTCATTAGAATTTTTTTGCATTCTCTTCTTGTTTCTTGATTTAAACTTCATCTAAACTTTAAACTTTATTCATCTAAAATTTTAACTTTAGAGGCAAACATGCTCTGAGGTTGGAAAAAGTATATGCAGATACACTACCATTCAAAAGTTTGGGGTCAATTTAATTGTATTTTCTATCTCTTTTCTGCAGCTTTCAGAGCAGACAGCCAGAGAGACCAACCCAGGTAGTTTGTCCTCAGAAGGCACATTGAGTCATAATAGGGGAGACAGAGGGGAAATTATATAATTTTCCTACATTTTTCTACCTGCCATCTTTGGGTACAAGAAACATATGATCATAATCATATAATATAATTAATATAAAATAATTGAATTTAATATTAACCACTATATTTCAAAGAGGAGCACATCTCAAAGCAATAATATTTTTGCTTAAATAATTTGACTAAAATATGAATTATTTTAATCATCAGGAATAATATATTATTATAATATTGAAAGTAAAAGTCTTAAATGGGAATGATTTTTAAATACATATTTTAAGTACATATTTTAATACATATCTATTATCAAGAAATAATAGATAGAAGTTTAATTTCAAAGACTGTCAAAACTTTAGATGGGAAGACAATCACAGGGGGTTCAGGAAATTCTTTATACTCAAAGTGTAGTGATAAAAAGTAATAGAATCACATTTCTTTTTTTTCAAGCAGAGAGAGAGCTTTACCAAGCATTCGCTGAATAAGTGTTGGCAGTCTAGCTTGTTTGTGATTGAAGAAATGTAATTGCCCCCTGATCTCTCCCACCATAAGAACCAAACAGTAATTCTTCTAAAGTCTCTCACTGCCCTCTCAGCTCAGCCTCCTGCTCTGACGGCAGACTGTGTCTGTTTGTACAGAAGGTTACAGACAGTTCCAGTCCACAGGAGAGTGGAGTCTGAGCTAGTCTTCCTGTCTTAGAGCAGTGTGACAGTGAGACAGGTCCCTGGCTGTCTGTGGTCACTCTTCTGTAGCGGTTGACAGCTTGAGAGTTCACCACAGCCAAGAGTGCTCGCACCGTTCCGCAGGACGTTATTACCTCTCTTTAGTCATATCATCAGCCTGCACAATGTTTTTTCTTTTTTGTTCAATAGAAAATAGGACATTTGGCATGCAAAGGTTATTGGTAAATACTTTACCTTACTAATGCCAGTTAATATAACAAACAAACTTCATATTATAATCTCAGAGATTCTTCTATAAGACAAAATTCTGTTTTATTTGTGATGACTTAAATTTGCTTTTAAACCATTACGTTTTCTAATGAATGTGTCATTAGAATTTTTTTGCATTCTCTTCTTGTTTCTTGATTTAAACTTCATCTAAACTTTAAACTTTATTCATCTAAAATTTTAACTTTAGAGGCAAACATGCTCTGAGGTTGGAAAAAGTATATGCAGATACACTACCATTCAAAAGTTTGGGGTCAATTTAATTGTATTTTCTATCTATCTATCTGTCTATCTGTCTATCTGTCTGTCTGTCTATCTTTTTTATATATATATTTTTATTTTAGTATTGTTATTTAAAAAAAAAAAAAACTTTTATTCATCAAGGGTGCATTAAACTGATCAAGTTTTAAAAATAAAAAAAATAAATGCAGCCTTGGTGAGCATAAGAGACTTCTTTCAAAAACATTAAACAATCTTACCAAACCCAAACTTTTGAACAGCTTGTACTTCATGAAATCGAAAAGCTTTTACCATATACAATATTCAGCTTTTTTGTTCCTCTGATTTTAAAAAACAGTTTTAAGCCATTTCAAAAGAAGCACATCAAGATACATCTCTCTCTCTATATATCTCTCAAACATTTTCAAAAGGCTGAGAAATATTGCAGTGTATATTTGTTTAGCTCTACCGCCCAGTCTATAGGTGACCTGTTTTATAAGCATGAGCTCTTGGCTGATGGTGCAGACTGCCCTTGCCTACAGTCATACTGGCACCACCCACATACAGGGAGGAGGCAAAGCACAGGCTAAATCCAATGTTTTGGCTGTATATTTATAAATTGCCAAATGCCACATATCTGGTCTTGGCATTTCACTTATTGGTTAGTTTATGTGCTGTCTCTCGTCCTGTGATTGTGGGGTGTGGGCCCTTGTAGAGGGGGCCATTCTGACTCTCACCTTGTCCCCGGATGGTTGACTCTATGCAATAATTGTTTGTTTGTCTGCAGATTGAACCTTGAAGGATGTGGTTTTGAATTTTAGTTTATTTTCCTTTAAATCTCACCATCTCACTCTCTTTCTCACCAGATTGTATCGGGATAGACTGTAACCTTAGTAAGTGATTCTTTTATCTGCAATGCTATTTTTATCTCTTCTCTCTCTCATGCTCAGCCCCAATTCATCAAAAGTTTCTTCTCCTCCCTCGTAATCCTGTCTTCCTGCACCGTTAACACAGCTTTTCTTTTGAACATGTTCCCAGTTTGCATCCCTCTCTCTTTTTCCTCTCACTCTCCCTCCCCAACAACCCCCTCTCTCCCGCGTTCCCTCAATCTCAATCTCTTCTGTTCCGCAAAATATGCAGATTTGCTGCGGTGTTTGAAATTAAGCATAACCATCCCAACAGTTTCCATTTCAACACCATATGTTTCTCACTGCTCCTCCAATGCTCTAGTCTGTTTAATGTTCCTGTGGGACTCTGTTACATAAGGAAAATACGATAATAAACCATGTAATAAAAGAAGAAATCTTCATTTGCCAAATCAGGCGTGAGGTTGAACATTGCCTGTATTTGAGCGGTGTTACATCAATGCATAAGTGTTGGGAAACGATGCAATCCTCAGTAATAGCAGTGCAGTGATGCTGAAGGTAAGTAGTATAAATCGGATGTATGAGACGATAGGACCTCAGGTTGTATTGTGTGTGTGTGTGTGTGTGTGTGTGTGTGTGTGTGTGTGTGTGTGTGTGTGTGTGTGTGTGTATATCTC